TTGAATAATATTGAAAAACAAAAAGCGATAAAAGTGAAGGTGTAAAAGTGGTCTGTACTTTTCCAAGAATTCTATTTATGGAAACATTGTACTCGTTGTGTACAATACGCAGATAATAGTAGAGATCGATTTGGAGATACTTGTTTCCAAACTGTCTCCGATATTCATTTCATATGCTCTCGGCGTGCCTAAGAGAAGTGTTGGGTCACAGTGTACCAAGAGAAGGAGCGAAAAAGGATATATGGAGAGTACCAAGAATCTGGATAGAGGACTACGAACCAATCCACAAAGACAACAATCCATGGAGATATCGAGTATTGAAGGCCTCCTAACATGCCTGGGACCTCACCACTTTCACTTCACACAAAGTACTAGTATTTCACACAACAAATATCATGAATTGAATTGAATTGAATTGAATTGAATTGAATTGAATTGAATTGAATTGAATTGAATTCAATTGAATTGAATTGAATTGATTGGATTAGTTAATCAGGTGTGGGAGTTCGTTATTGTTGGGTGAAATGATAACACTCGAAAAATTCGTATTGATGGCGTTGAAACGCCTCCAAGAGCACGTGCAAAACGAGTTTGATATAGCTTGTACTTGGAGAAGAAGTATACGATTCTTGATGAAGTGTATCCACAAGGAAGACTGGTTTTCCGCAGCTTAGGAAGAATGAGAGGTTAGTGAAGAGCCGAAGGACGTCAACGAAGAGTTCGGTGGAGGTGTCTGTGAAGGAACAGGTTGAAAGTACTGAAGATAACGGTTAAAAGAAGAAGTTGTGCAGATACAGAAAGAAGAAGAAGAATGGAAGGGCTCTTGTAAGAAGTTGAGAGAGGACAGTGAGAGAAAATAGCCTGAGATAATCCCAATGATAGCAGAAATGAAGAAGAAAACGAAGAAGCATTCTAGTGAAAAGAAATCGAAATCAAGAAGGACTGTTACGAAATCTCCCAACCACGACAAAACTCCGATAAAAACGCAAGAGAAGAATAGTGATAACCGTGTGAAGAGACCTGGAAGTGAAAAGGAAGAAGTGGTGTTGCGACACACAAAGAATAAAAGAATGCGTTTGGAAGAGGAGGTCAAGCCGATTGAACCAAAAGAGGTTTCGCCTTCAACAAAGGTAGAGTCGAGTTTGCTGGAAGAGAAGAAGGATTATGAGCTGCCCTGTGAAGAAGTGAAGAAGAAGAAGGAGAAGGAGAAAGAGAGCGAGAGCGAGAGCAAGAGCAGTATAGTAATCACAAGTTGTTGGGAGCAAAATGTCGATTCTCCCTATGGTAAACGATTTTTCGATTTTTTCAACTTTCTGTGGTGGAGAGGAAATAAGAAAGAGAATGCAAAGAAGACATTGGGAAACTCAAATTCGACAGGAATATTGAGTTCTGAAGCGGCTGTGAAAGAAGAATCGGGCGCGAATAAGAATGAAGCCAGCTTAAGTATGAGTGGGAAGAAGACGATGAATACGCAATCCAGCGGTGACAAAGAAGACCTGAAGGTGTCCCGCACTGACAGTGAGAGGAAGCGAGAGTGCGATTCATTAGAGAGGACGAATACGGTCCAACAGAAGAATATCCCGCCGTATTAGAAGGTTCATTCTGAAATGTCGGATAAGAATGCGAATTTGGATACACCACTTGATTTGGTGGATGAGGGATGGATTTGTAGTAAATTGAGCCCAATTCGTTCCGACAGTATATTTGCCTTCCCATCTGGGAAATTGAACACCGATTTATGTGCTTTGTCTTATCTTAGGGAAGAGAGAGGACATGGGTCAAAGAGTTGCAGGATGCGATGGGAGTACTGGAATTCGTTGGAAATGTCCACTTTTGGAAGAGATGATACCACACACGCTGACATGGAAGCACCCTATAGAAGGAAAGAAGGAAGGAAAGAGTCTATAGAGGATCTGGCGCTGTTGTTTACGCCAGCCAAGACAGAGAGAAGGAGGCGAGGTACAGTACCATATAGAATGATTGAGAGTGGTTAGAGAAGAGTACAAGAAGCTGAAACCAATTCTGGAAGCCAAGAAAGAAGAAAGAAGCGAGAGGCGAGAATGAAGGAGGTTGAGCTAGAAGCCAAGGCATGGGATAAGAAATCACAGGCAGAGAGAAAGGGAGATGATAGCACCGTGAAGGAAGAGAAGAACCGAGAGGAAGCACGAGGGACGACAGTAGAGAGGGTTCAAAGAGTACGGCTACAGGAGCCGAAGGGAACCAATGGACCCCAGAAGACAGAATCGCCCCAGGTGCTTGAGAGAATGGAGGTGCCAGTGAAACCGTCAGACCCGATAGAAGAAAGCTGTGATGCGAAGAGTGACAAACCTATGTCCAAGGAAGAAGAAACGGAAGTGGGGTATATCCCGGTAGAAAAGACGTGTCTAGCGGGACCCAAGGAACACCCCATGGAAACAAAGGAGCAAGAGAATCCCGGAAGGATATGGAGTGAGGAGAGTATCGAAGGAAGGGAGGTCGAAGAATATCCTAAAGAGGAAGAGACAAGGAGGTACTCAGAGGAAGGAAGGCAGAGTTGGGACAGGAAGGAGGAAGAGGAGAGTAGCAGTGAAGTGTCCTCTCCTTCTACGACACCCATGGATTGGCCGAAAGAAGAGTACCTGGAAGTCTTGATGAATGAAAACGAGAATGGATATTGGAGTGACTCCACGATGGAGAACTCGGTGACGGATAGTGTTGATGGATGGCTCGAGGTAGAGGAAAGGAAGAACAGCCCTCTGGGTGGCTGGAGATCCTCGAGCCCCGAGAGTGAGAGATCTCACTATAGTAACGCCTCAACGCGAGAACATTCACCGAGACGAGATACTATCCTCAATTCACACTGCAGAGTGATCACACCTGTGAAAGTGAATGTCCAGGTGGATCAAGAAGAGAGTGAGGAGGAGGAGGAGAAACCCTTGCAAGAAGAGATGACGATGAAGACCCTCGGTAGAGAGGGAGAGAGTAAAGTATTGCACAACAGAGGAGACGAAGTACACAG